AAAGTATAAATTTATAATTATATAAGTACAAATATTTATATAGCTGAATGTATGAATATTTTGATATTGGTGATTGCAATATGCAAAATTCTCATTGATAAGAATTACAGCTCCAGTTGCACTGAAACATTTGTGGGTCACAAGGTGTGGTGCCACCCACAACAGTCACTTCCCAGTCAGTGTTCTGAGCGAGGTGTTTGGCTCTTGTACAAAGGTCAACTGGAGGATAAAAAAGTCAGTTGGGAGTAGCTGGCCAATAGCCAAAGCTATTGGCTTTGGTGGTATTTATGCAGGCTCAAATCTTTCTTGAACTGGGGCTGAGTGATGTGGCAATGTGCTCCAGAAGAATGCAGTTAGTGCTGGAGATGTCCCTGACTATGCAACGATAGCTCAGTGTCAGGGCTGGTAACTGGAACCACATCTGACTTTCTAAAGCAGTAACTGCTCACTTCAGCTGAAGTTGTGAACTTTCAGGGAAATTGAAAACATGCTTGGTAAATCAGTGCTGCGTGGGCATGCCACTGTAGAGGTTTGTTACCAAGATAAGTCTTCATAGAACTACCAAAATCTTCAGGTGAGGTCCCTGAAGATGACTGTAATGGCTGGTTTTGTAGACTGTTGTTTGGTTTTTTTGCATGCAGATTGTCGTCATTTTTAATATTGGAACCAGTACTGGACCTTCTCTCATGTGTTTTGGTCCCAGCAGAAATGCAGGTGATGAACCATCTTGAACAAAACAAGACTCTCTAGTAAATCTGGATCTGCCAGGAGCCTGTGGCATCTGTGAGCTGGGTTGCTTTGCTCTGGATTGATCCAGGTGTTCTGCTGACATAGCAGCCTCTCATTTTCACATTCCTTAAAACACAGCAAATCTTTTGGTATTAATACTTGAGATCCTTGAGTAACTGTTAAAATTGATCCTGATACAAGTTCCAGAAATATGTATTTGTCCAACTTCTGCTAGTTTTCCATTCACTCCACAAAAACTGAGTGAATGTTTTGCTGCTAAGAAAGCAAATGTGATCCTGTATCTGGTATGCAAAACTGTGATGTGAGTAAAGCTTATCAAGATTTTTTCAGTGCTGAAGGCCCAAGGGAAGAGGTCTGTTACAAACTTTACTTTGAGCAAGTGTTCCTGCAGCTTTGTATTGCTGTAAATTGAAATGTATTACTGTTTCACATGGTGTCATCTTGTTGCTGTCGTAGTTGAATTAATCCATTCTCATCATCTTCAATGCCTTTCCTTTTCTGAGAGGCTGTTCACTGAACTGTTACTATTAGGTCAGTTGCATCTTCTGCTTGAATTTCTTTCCTATCTACTGTTTCATTGTAGTGCCAGATCTTTTATTGTGCTTCTCTATTTGTTAAACTCACTCTCAGAAAATAAACCATATATTGATACTGGCAAACTTTTCTGAGGGAAGAAGGTCTGGATAAAGGTATTTGTATTGCAGAGATGAGTCCCTAAGCCCTTACTCATTTTAGGAAGTTATAGTGATTCAATGAAATATCTGTTCTGCAGTGACTATGTGCTCTTCTGTAAACCTATCTCCAAAATATTTCAACCCTATGAGCCTGCCCCTGCTCTGACCTTCAGAGGTAACGTTATCCAATATTTAATCCACATGCCCCTGTAAACTCTGAGGAGACTGGTTAATATCAAAAGAAAGACAAAACATACATAGAGGCATTTACTTGAGGTACTGAAAGTATTTTGGTAGAGGAGGGAATGGTGCAGCTGAAATGTGGCAGCAGTTGCAGATGTAGTTCTTTATAGGCAGTTAACACAATTTCCTGCTCTGTTTACTACTTGTTAATGTTGGAAATGAAATATGTAACACACTATTGTGAGATTGGGGGTTGTTTTTTAAATCTGAATCTACAGACTCAGCATTAGGCAGCTTCTACTTTTGGCTTTGTATTGCCCCTCTTTAAAATACGTGTTTAAAAATACCTCTGTATTTTAGCTTTTTCCAGATTTTGAATGTCATAGTCGGGCAGTAAACTAAGTGGCTTGTTTTGGTCCTGTGTTACAGACCATGCCTGCAAGATGCAGAAAAGTAATTTCTCTGCTTTCTGATGTTGCTTGTTTACACAGCGTTGGTGCACGTGTAGCATTTGAAGAGTTCACTAAGCTGTGGAATAGAAAGCTCTGGAAAAGCTGCCTTTTTGAATAAATGTATTTTTATGCATTAAGTGTCTAAACTGGACACTCTAATTTAAAACTACCTTAAATAATGGGTGTTTCTCACAGGTGTGGAAATCTCATCTGACTTTCCAGAGAAGCAGGATTTGCATTTTCTGGAGTTTCAAAGAGAAAGTTGAATGCACAGAAAAGCAAGTGTACACCTAGTGGTGAAGTTGTATGTGCACAATCCACTGTCATCTATTGGTTTACACTCAAAGTCACTTTCTAAAAAATCTAGATTTTTTAACTGATGCTTGCTCATTCTGTAGAAGTTGTCAGAACAAAGACTGATTAGTTGTTGGAGCAAAGACTGAGTGATTTTCATCAGTCTGGGATTAATTCTCCCTTCCCTAGCTTTTGGTGATTGCGTGTTTTATTGCTGAATGTTGTAGATCCTGAAAAATAAATGGTGTGATGCTCTTAGTTTGCTTTTCCTTCACATAGCAGTTGCATTTTTCTTAAAGAACTCAAGAAACCTGTCAATGTAGGTTCTGAAAATCTGTTTTGCCAGACAATTTGTTTTGACTTCACATTGCTTCAGTTTTCTTGATTCATAAGAAATGAATGACTCTTACTGTCACGTGACTTCTCTCCAGGTAAACATTAGACTTCATTAGAAGTAAAAATCAGAAAAGAAAAGAAAAACAACCAAACAAAAGGTAGATTTGGCAGATTGGTATAGTTGCACTAATTTAAAACTTCTTTAATATCTCATGCTTGAATCCAAATGCCAGACTGTTGATGACTTATTCTTAAATAATTTGAAATCAGATATTTGGGTAGTGTCTTGTTTGTCTTGCAGCAGGACTCCAGTGAACTCCTGGTATTTCAGGGCAATGGTTCTTAACTATGTGTTCAGCCTTTGTAAAATCTGGGAGGGTCTTTAAAAAGGCTGCCTTGTTATGAAATGCATTTTTCATGGTCCTACTGAAGGTATTGGTTTCTGAAAATTATGGGAACTTTTGAAACTGTTTCGTTAATTTAACTTCTAATCTAATGACTGTTTAACTGTTCTTCCACTTTTCATTTCTTTTAGCTGAGATGTGACAGCAAACATAAGAAGAACTGCTGAAACATGATTATCTCCTGTTTTTGGAAAAGTCTAACTTGTGTCTAACTCATCCCTTTACGGGATTTGACAGGAAAAGCTGTTAATTGGCCACAGATGACTACTGACTACTAAGAGGCTTTCTGAAATTAGTTTTGGATTATGGAGAGACAGTAAAAAAATCAAGCTTATTGATGACACCAGTTCCATTTGAGGTTGTTGTTGTCCTAAGCAGTGGCTTTGGCTGGAGATTGCTGCCATTATGCAGAACAATTGCTCAGTCATTGTAGGTAACATATTCTTTAAATGTACTGAACAAAGATGAAAGCCAGAAATTTAGATCCTGATTTTTGCCAAAGCTGTAACTCTTAATTTTTTCAATAATCCTCCTCCCTGAGGAGTGGATATGTGCTGTGCAATGCATGTTTTCTACTTCCCACCAGAAGGAGCTGAATCCAGTGTGCCAAAGCCAATGGGAGCCCTGCTCCGGTGAGCCCCAGGCGTGTACTTAAAATAGGAAATGGTTATTGGAACTAAATTATTTTGCCATTTTCATTTTTAGGTTTGCTGGCATGGGTAATCTCATTAAGGTGCTAACCAGGGACATAGACCACAATGCAGCACATTTTTTCTTGGATTTTGAAAGTAAGTCTCTCGGCCCTTCACAGCTGGTGTGTTTAAAATGGTAACAGTAGGGTTGCTTATACCTGCTGCAGTGAAGGCTAGGGGACTCCGCTGCAAATCTGCAATTTGAAAAAGTTGCATGTGTTTTTTCTGTTCCTCGTTTTTGCTTTTTTTTTTTTTCCCCTCCAGTAGTAGCCAAGCCGCCATCATGCTACTGTGTACATTTTCTTTCCTTGTGCTTAATCATTTTGAGTCTCTGTGGTCAGTGATGTCCATCCATCTGCTTGCAAATCAAAGAATCGTAAACCAAGAGATTCTGTCAGTATGCCATAGTAATCTGTTCACTGTAATCCCATCTCATACAAGAGTGAGCACTAAATCGTTCCTGATCCTGGTTTGGTCATTCATGGTGCATTTTTTACATCCAAAAGTCCAAGGTAGAATTGTCTGAGCTTCACAAATGTTTCAGGCAACTTGTGTTAAAGATCCGTGGCGTACCCATGTCAGCATTTTCAGCACACCAAAATGATGTATCTTGATGTGGTTTTCTATCACGGCGTTCTGACAAAATTATAAGGGCTGACAAAATTAAAGCTTCTTCCTTCTGTTGTCCCATCAGGTGAAAATCTGTAGCATGGCCACCATGTCAATGCCTGCAAATAGGGGTACGTAGGCGTGGTGTGGTCCTCCTGCTCAGGACACTGGTGCTAGGGGGTACCCAGACAGAATTTAGCCACTAGCGATGCCTTCAGTTGGAGTTTTGCCCTTTTCTTGAGTGGGCGGCTGTGAAGATGTTGGTGACGCAGTCACTTCTTACAGGAAAAGCTGCTTTGCATCTCTGGGATCACCGCCTGGATGTCCCCGAGATGGGGAGCTCCTTCCACTCATCAGGGCAGCAGCCTGAAGGATGTGTTTGTGCCTGGTGGAGCTCTCTGGTCTTCTTTCCCCCACTGCTTCGATCAACTCTATTTGGGCTGTTCCTTCTTATAAAAAGAAAATTTTCTTTTCTCTCATTCTTGTCTTGGCAGGTACCTTAACATGGGGAACCTTCTAAAAGTTTTGACATGCACAGACCTTGAGCAGGGGCCAAATTTTTTCCTTGATTTTGAAAGTGAGAAGATGATTTTATATATCTATTATTCTTTGCCTGCAGTAGACTGCATTTGTCATGTACTAAATGTATGTTTTCACTTTGCCGTCCTTCTAACAGCTTTGCATGCCTGAGCTATGGATAATTGTTCAGCGAACTTTAGCGGAAAACAATAATCTGTTTTAAAATAACCTCAATTTCTAAAATGTAAAATCTTGAGGAAGGGCTTTCAAATTGTATTTTACTGTTGGAGTCTGATACAGTTCTTGTTTTAAATCAAAATTCTGCTTTTAATCAGAACTTAAGGAAAAAAAAAAGGGGGGGGGTATTTGAAGACTCACTGAAATTGTAAGGAGATAAATGCACCTTAAAGGAAGGAGTGGATGTGAAGTCTGATTCTCTTTTCTTCGCTTCAAGCGTGCCACTGAATAACGCTGCATATACAGTTTGGCTGACAACAGCTATTCATAGCTCTCCAGCGTCATCACGTTCAAGGTGTATATGTGAACCTTATTGGATTTGGCATTGAAATTCGAAGTTAACCTCATCCCTCCTTAAAAGGGGAGGTCAGAGAGTATAGAGATGAAATTGCTTTTGAAAAGAAGAAATGTACGGCTTGTCTGGTCAATGCCAAGCGTTCTGGAAGGTTCACATATTGTCAGCATTTCTGCTTTTAGTTCTTGTTGCATGGTATAATATAGCCTAGGAATGGCAGGTAAGTGTTGTTGGCTGTTGCTATGCATGTTTAATTACTTTCTTTTGGGATGTGCTGTTGCTTTACCCAGCTGCACATCAGCAAGCATAAAATAAGAAAATAATGTTCAAATGCATTTTGACCATGTAACAAAATACAGTGGAATAGCATAACAAAAAATTGATGAAATACTGTGATGTGAATAATTTGAGATTCATGATACCTTCTTTTTTTTCTCTAAAATTATTTTTCAGTTGTTTGATGAAACAGTAGCAATTGGTTGTGTTGGTTCTAATGCAAAAGCAAATGCTTGGAGAATTCTGTTGAAATTATACCTTCTCTTAACCCTTATCCTGTACTGTTGATTTTATTAATTTTCTCTTCTGAATATATTGTTATTGGAAGATGATAGCCATACAAATTATTCATAAAGGGAAGAAAATCAAGGTCTGTGCTCAAAAATGAGAAACAAAACAATAGTTTAAGACCACTTCAGGTCTTGCATATCATCAGAATAGGTGCGACTTAGTGAAGTAGAGAGAACTGATATGGGAGACTATTGGAGTTTTGAAGCTCCAGCTTATTCTGCAAATACCAACTGTTTAATTGGGCTAAATTAAATTCAAGTTAGCTGAATACAGGAAGCATAATACTAAAATCAATTGCAATAAAAAATTGCTGCTATTTTAAAAAACATTGATTCTTCAGCTATTTTTTTTTTTAAGTGCATGTTTTGAGCATGAACAAGATTTGGCATGAGAGTAAGCAGGTTGCTGACATGAAATGTTTACATACGCAGTCAAATTAAGTGACTTATATTATGGCTGGAGTGTTAGACTGTTCTTGGTTCATTTTGGACCCTGTCCTGCGTTTGTTACTGCTGCTGTACTGTGTGTCCGTGCTTCTTTCTCCTCCGTTTCAGATAGCTTGACTTGACAGGATCTTGGCTTTCACACAGTCAAGATCTTTCTTCAAGACTTGGCACTTAATCTTGTGAAACTTAATGTTGTGTTTTTATGTGGATGAGCAAGTAAGCTGTATTAAAAACAAATTTGCCAGTTCTGTGTTATGCCTGGCCCAGTAATAAACAGTTTGAGGTCTTTTGTTCTTATATCCATATACATCTTTGGAGTGAGCAAGCTAGTTAAATTCTTGCGCAATACCATAAAGAGCTAAAAATCTAATGCCCATAAAGCTTCATAGGGTTACAAATTTAAAGTGTAGAAAGATTTTAAACCAGTTTAAGATACTTTTTTTTCTTTTAGATATTTATCTTGGTGCTGGATTCCAGTGATTTGTGACTATCAGAATAGATGCAAAGAAATGTTCCAGTAAATTGCATAAATGGGCTTTTGGCTTTTCTTTGCCTTAACACTGGTTAAGCTTACGTTTTCTTTGGTCATTCATCTCACCTATTTGAAACAAATAGTTTTCTTAAGTATTCTACTGAAGTCTCTGCAGTGCCACTTCAACACGAGCAGAGGAAAATGCACAGCTTTGTAAGGAAAACGTTGTTAACATAAACCAGCCACTTACAACGTGGGAAACTCGCAGCCCAACTTTTACATCAGTGTTGTTACTGTCACAGTGCAAATCCTTTCCAAATTTACTGATTTGAATGGTAGCTAAAATGCAGAGTACTTTTGGTTGCAGATGGTGATCTCAAGCTAGCTCTGGAAGCATTCTGCATTACCTCCAGAGAGCTTGGCTAGGTTTCAGAGCAGCCACAGAGATAGTGTTCTCCAGAGTAATGATTATAGGGAGGAATAAATTATTTTGTCTCCAGCAGTCTGGGATTTTTCTCTCCCTTGCTCGTGAGTTTAGTCCCAGCCAGTTTCAGATGATTTGATGTGTTCTTCCCTGGGAAAAATCTCAGTTTAAATAGTGTTTACTGCACAGCATAAACTTCTAACCCCAATTTTCTCTCCCTACTAGTTCTGTAGGCTAGTCAAATACTTTCTTAAATAGTCACTAAATGTGTGTTTCCCACATGCAATATGTTGTCATACTTCCATAGCATATAGTTCACATAAGTGTTTGTGTATTGTTTCGAGTCTACTCTTTTGTCTAATATGTTATCGTGTGAGCTTTGAGCTCTAAATGTATATTGCATCTAGTGTAGTAACTTTCTCATTAAATTTAAAGTAAATTGATGATTAACTTTGCATTTATTTGAGGGACCTCAGACTTCACTATTCTCACTATTTTATTAAAATTGGGAAGGTTGCCCTGAATAACCAGTGATCGGCTCCCTGAGCAACAATATCAAACCTCAGAACATCTCAGTGGGCTGTGCTTACTGTATTTGTTCTTTCTATGGAAAACTTTGCTGGGTAAAGGCAAAACCTTGTCATCAAGTAGTAGTAGGAAAGGGGGAAAAGGGGAAATCCCTGAAATTGTATCCCTCCTTCATCCTGCTCTTTGGATGCCTTGCATTGCTGGTTGCCTTTTCTTCGCTGTCAAGACTTAACTGCAGAAGTACAACTCTCTTTCCTGCCACATTGAGGAAAAAGAGTTCACAATTAGTGATTCTCAAGTGAAAGTCCTGTAGCTTGATTCCCCAGGTACATACTGGGGTGTAGGAATGCCACCTGCATCTACTCAAGATTACAGCAGTGCTTAGGAAGAGGAACATTCCCGTCTTTCTCCATTTATGATGGACCTTCAGGTTACAGTGCCGTAACCACCACTGAAAGGCAAATAAACCAATTGCTCTGAGTCAGTCAGCACTAGAGCTTGAAGATTTTCTATATTCTGCCTTTTAAATCTATCCTAATACATCCTAAATGTGTTCTGAAGTGAATATAAAATAATTTAGATTAACTTTGTAAATGTGAGCTCTTTTCAAGGTGTGGAAGAATTACAGAGAGGAGAGGAACTTAGCTGGGACAAATCAGGTTTACATGTTGCCTCTTCTGGAGAGGGCTAGGTGCACCAAAATGAAATGCATGCCAAAAGAAATAATCCAGTGGCTACATGTATATTTGTAAGTTTGTTGTAAGAAAAACAAGCAAGCAAAGGATCCCAAAAACACACTCTGCCACCTCAACAAATTAAGTATAATCCATTGTTTTAGGGAAATTAAATACAGTAGTTGGCTGATTACCTCCTGAGTGGAACATTAACAGAGATGTTGAAGGTGTTAACTTGCATAGGCAGCTGTTCAGTGAACACCACTTAATTTGCATCTAGAGGATTAATTTAATTTCTAAACTTGGAAGGTCATAGTGAAGTATCTCTTCTGATTGTTGGTGGGTTTTGAAATGAGGAGTTGTTCTTGTGGGCCCCTCTGCTGTCTCCCTCCCAATGTTAAAAAATAAACTCTCCTCACTAGAGAGGGTAAAGAAAAAAATGGCATGAAAAAACCGAATAGGCAAGAGATGTGCTCGGTATGAGAGAATCCAAGTGGCAAGTCTTGATCGCGTTATTTAACACCACAATCTGGAATGCTACAGAGCTTCACGTTTTATCTGTATTTCACTCTAGCATTTCATGTTTGTGCATGAACTGCTGCCAGTCAACTGGTGCTTACCTGTCTGCTCTTTTCCCTCATTTTTTTGTCTTCATCTCTTACAGCAGTCTTCAGCAGCTTTCAAAATTATAAATGTGACCTTTGATGATCTGAAAAGCACTGGCCACTTTTACTCGATGCCTAATCGATGTGGTGCTCATACTTTTTTTTAAAAGAAGTGACCACCTGTTTTGTTACCCATGCTAATTCTTGATGGTTCTCAAAATATCAGTTAAACTGTCACAAGGTCTCTATATAGGCGTATTTGCTAATAAAGCCCACTCTCTATGCATTAAATCATACAAATAAAAATTATGCAAAAATTACAGCAAAATCCAGACAGGCAATGCATGTGAAACTTATTTTCTCCTAATACAAACTTGGTTTTCTAATGGTTTGTTCTAGTGTGTAACGCTAGGATGCTGTGATTTTTTTTTCTTTTTTTCATTTTAAAGTAAGTATGTTCCTAACTTCCATCATTGCTAGTGGGAGTTATACATATGGATCATGGAAAAAGTACTTTTAAAAAGACGTTTTCCAGACTCTTTAAACTGTACAAAATCATGAGGATGTATTGTCTGCAGATAGCTTTTGTTTGTCCCTATTAAAAAGAATCTGTTGTTAATATCCTGACTTTTGCCATTGGAAATTCTGGATTAAAATATAGCGATACTTATTTCATAAAATATTTTGCCCATGTAAACAGAGAAGTGGTTTTTATATAAGAGGTTCACTAAGTCATTTTTTAATATCAATCTAAAAGGAGCTAACCTTATAGCTTAGCTTCCGTCAGAATTTTGAAAGAAAATTTGTTGTACTAGGTGATTATTTTTAAAAGTTAAAGCCTTTTGCTGATTCTTCTCAAAACATACTTTTTATTGACTGACATTTCTTTAAGCATATATGTGTAGCTTTTTTGAAATGGTGAAATTACTCTCAGTCAGTCTTCAACTAATTATCGGAAGACTGGGAGACACCATATATCCTTAGAGAGGAGAGAGGGAAAGCAAAAAAAGAGAACAGGTTTACATGAGACCTTTTTGTTCTCACCTCTGATTTGACAATTTTATTTTACAATAAAGAATATGTTTTGAGACTTGAATGTGTTTAGAATTAAAAGATACAGTTCTTTTCCCAACCAGTAAAAGGGGAGGCAAGGAAGGTGGAAAATAATCTGATACAGTGTTTCCAGATAACAGCAGACATGAACACCTCCTGTAATATCTGCAGTGAGTGTGTCTGGAGTGCTTACCTGTGCCTCTTCCATTGAGCTTGCACTGCACTCTAAGGTGAGACTGATATTATTCGTAAAGATCACTTGCCAGGATTTCTCCTCCAAAATAAGTCAGGAGGGATGGATTGCAGGTAGAATTTTAGGATGCTAAATGAAGCTAAAAGACTACTGAAATGAATACAAATACTCTTTTTGGAGTTTCTTATACGTTGCAGTAGCTCTTCAGAGAATGAAAATTCTTGATGAGTTGCTGCATGGTGAACATGTCCCGTAGGTAATGGTGTACCTATTGAATTCCATATTGTTGTTAAAAACATATATATATATATATTTAATATGTTCTGCTGTTTAGATGCCCAACCTACAGAATCTGAAAAGGAAATTTATAATCAGGTGAATGTAGTGTTAAAGGATGCAGAAGGAATACTGGAAGACTTGCAGTCATATAGAGGAGCTGGCCATGAAATACGAGAGGTGAGCTGGAGCGTTGTGGTTGCGCACAGGCTGTGGTTGTTCGTTGTCTGATCCTAACCAAATACTGCTGGGTTTTAACTTTGCTTGCAGGAGCTGTTTTGGCAAAGCATGTTGTCTATTAAAGTTGCTGTCTTGAATTTCTGCTCTGGAATGTTCCTCTTTAACAGCGAAACAGATGTCGCTTGTTTCAATACTATTAATACACATTTAATAGCAAATGATGCTTCTCAAACTTTTTATGGAATTGTTATTACTGATTTTTCTTCATATTCCCACGTAAGCACTTCTGCAGTTAGTGGCAAATTTGGAAGAAGCGTGGCGTGACTACAATGCAATATTGAGTAGTGTCGACATCTTTTTGTACGCTAATTGGAGAAGTCTGATGTGTGGTAATCCTAACACGAAAGACTTCTCATTTTCAACCCCTTTTAATTGGCTTTTATTTACTAAAGAAGGTATTTGGAACAGAAGCAAATTTTCTTTACAGCGTGCCACTCCATTTTTCCTTTACCTTTAAGAAAGGGTTGAATAAATACTCCTTCAGTACCCTTCCCTTTCTCCTCAGGTGCAGGAATGGGGTTACTTTGCACCTGAAGTGAGGAGTTCAGTAACGTACTCTTAATAAATCCTAGTACATAGGAGGAGTCTCTCCTCACTTTAGATGAATTTGAGGTAATTGGAGCCATTCAGCTTTAAAGTACCATGAGTTTTTATTCAGGCTGTTGAATTCATAAGGTAGGTTTAAGGAGGGCAACTGTGTCACACACAACCCTTACAAAGGGTGAGAGCTTATTTGTTCTTGAAGAAAGGACTGTGTAGAGGGAGATGCTGCAGGATTTGCGTGTCTCTGCAAACAAGCCTGCAGCTCCCATGGAAAAGGAAGAGATGCTCCGGAGGAGAGGTAGGCATCCCAGGAAGGAAGTGTCCTAGAGGCCAGAGAGGTCTGTGCTGCAACTCACAGCCCACGGCTGACTGAAACAGATTTTGGAATCAAGGAATTGGCCGTGAAGATGCAGCAGGAGAGTTATAAGCATTTTTATTTGTTTTCTTAGTAATTTTCAGTTGCTAAGTGGTCTAGTTTCTATCTTGAAAACCTGGAGAGACTGAATTTAAAGCTTCATCTGGGAAGCTTACTGTGAAGACAAGATAAGATGTATGCATATAGCAGAATGCTCTGGTATATACCTTGTCTTGGGTGGTGCTTTATGGTGTTGATTATACTTAAATGTTCCTACTATAATACCCTGAGTTTCAGAACAAATTTGGTGTTTTGTGGTATTTTTTTTTTTGTTTTTTTTTTTCTTCTCGAATTCTGAAATTAGTGATAGATGCCAACATTAGGATAAGCCTTTGATCACTAAACTTTTTTCTTGGAGATATCCCAATGAAGTTGTGGTTTATATTAACTAGATCTGGTTATGCAAATTTTCTTACATGAGTAGCTTTATTTTTAACACTTTCTTTATAGTCTCTCAAAGTTGTTTTCCTGTTCAGGATACTTATTTTCAACACAGGTATTTAGAGTTCTTTTGGAACAGACATGGGTTAGGACAGGCTTGCCTCTCAACTGAAAACTTCTCAGTAGGTAGAATTTTTAATAAGTAGCTCCTCAGACAATTGCCCTGCATAGACTTTTTTTTTTCAGTAGTATGTCAGTTATGCTTAATCTAAGCATACTTTTTTCTCTTTTTTTTCCCAATTTAAGGCAATACAGCATCCCAATGATGAGAGGCTGCAAGAGAAGGCGTGGGGTGCCGTTGTTCCACTAGTAGGCAAACTAAAGAAATTTTATGAATTTTCTCAAAGACTAGGTAAGTGGAATGGTATTAACTTGGGGTTTATTGTCTTCATTAGTTACAACATTTGGCATATTCAGATGTGATCACATCTAGATATGCTGAATGTTAGTAGATGAACGCTCATATTGCACAGGTTCCTTCCATACACTGGGTTGGATCTTACTTCTATCTGTGTGCTGCCTTCTTGAACGTGAAAGCAAACTTGCTTCAGTGGATATCTGAGAGGAGAGAGAAAATGGGAGCATACTTATCGTTCTCTTTCTCTACCTCTTTAGTAACTCTGGAAAGCACCAACCAGCCGATTGTTTTGAAAATTAGTAGCCTAATTAATCAGGAATGAATTCTGTTAATGTTTTTTGATAACAAGAGTGCTTAAATGTGACTGTATTATTCCTCCCTAATCACCAGAAATAATTTGGTCTGTGGAAATTCCTGATCTTGGTTCATGCAGGTGCAATACTTAAGATGACACTTCATGTCTCCTGCAAAACCAACTTGACTGATGTTGTGTCTAAGCTGATAAAAGCTATTAGACTTGATTTGTTTTTTCATAATTTTATCTGTTGTTACGTCACTTTTAGACAGAGTCATTAGCATAGCTCATGAAGAAAAGGTATTTGTGGTTAAAAAAGATGCAGGCTTTTAATAAAGCAGAACTTGCCTGCAAAAGGGGCAAGGTATTTTTCTCAAGAACATGTGCAGGAAGTTGGATTATAAGTTTATTTAAAAACAAATAAAACATGAGTTATGCTGATATGTATGTACCTCTTGAATTCTGTGTTATCTTAAAGGCTACAATCTGCTAACAAAGGTTACTGAACTGTTTTACACAAATGTTGCAGTCAAAGCTGGAATAAAACCTCTCAAGATTTTTTGTTATGGCTGTCAGTGCTGATTAGACCTAGTTTTTACAGCAGTTTGTAAGGGAAGTATGAGAACAGTGGCGCATAGAAGCAATTCATCAAGCCCCCTTATTATTAATTACCGTGTATTTTGGCAGATGGATATTTGAAGTCTAGTATGCAGAATATCAGTCAGTAGAGATACAAGAAGCAGGTGCAGTTGTATATTGCAAAATACTCTCCTCTCATTCCAGAGGCAGGTTTGCGAGGACTGTTGGGAGCTCTGACAAGCACTCCGTACTCACCAACGCAACACCTGGAGCGAGAGCAGGCTCTTGCTAAACAGTTTGCAGAAATCCTTCACTTTACACTCCGTTTTGATGAGCTCAAGGTAAGAACAGGTTGTAAATTTGTAAGCACAAAGGCTAGCAAAAAGGAAACACCTCTGTTTACTGAACAATCTGGGCTGTGGTCTGTTCTAGAGTAGAGCTTGCAGTAGCTACTCAAATATCTGCTATGCTTGGCTTCTTCGCATGACCTAGAGTTAGATTAAACTTGAAAGTGGATGAAATACCTTATTAGCTTTAGGCAGTTGTTACATATCAATTCACTTTAATCATGTTTCTTCATCCACATTTGGCATATCTCTTGGGATAATGCTGCTGCTGCTTTTAGTAAGTGCACACCCATAGTCCAGCTGTTTTCTTGCTAATGTGCAAAGAATGAAGCTGAAATGATGTTAATTTGCTGGTCTGATCCTTGGAGTCAAACTGGCAAAGCTATTTTTTTTTTCAACCTACTGATTTCAAACTCCTATTTAGGGGACTGCTTATTAGATCTTGTTCTGAAAAATCGGAGAATTTAACCAGAAAGCTTTATTCTACATATCACTTCCCAACATGTCACAGGTTTTTTTTTTTTACTTCAGAAGGCTGAATATTTTCTTTTTCCCAGTATTATATTTTATGAAAACTTGTCCTTAGACTTTTCTTGAGTTTGTCACAACTGTTTTGTTGCTCTATCTATATAGATGACAAATCCTGCTATACAGAATGACTTCAGCTACTATAGAAGAACTCTGAGCCGTATGAGGATTAACAATGTCCCAGTAGGTAACCCTTGGATGAGATGAAATATATTCTTGTATTACCACCTGCCTTTTTTCATGTACAGAACAACTAAATTATTTTTTTCTTCTGTATTATAGGCAGAGGGAGAAAATGAAGTAAATAATGAGTTGGCAAACAGAATGTCTTTATTTTACGCTGAAGCAACGCCAATGTTGAAAACCTTAAGTGATGCTACAACAAAGTTTGTGTCAGAGGTAAGAATATAAATTTATGGCTTGGATAGTGTACTTCAAAGCAGTGCATGGCCAGATGTCATTTTAGAACAAAAAAACCTCTTCTACCAACCTTAATCTGGCATTTAGAAAATAAACTCAGTTTTTTGAGCAAACATAACGTATCTTCCTCAGATGCCACAGAGGTTAGAGTAAGTTCGGCTAGACATCTTGTGGGTGCATTGCTAAAAGTTAGTGAGTACCATTACAATATTGGTAGTGAGAGCTTTCCTCCAGGAGGGAGGCAGGAGAGGTAAGTGTGGTGCCTGCATTTTGATGGTGCTTTAGAGCAGAAAATTCAGAAAATTGAAAGGGAAATAGCTTGATTCTCTGTGCTTCAATTGTAGCTTTTGTTTCTGCTTCCCAAGACACTTCTGTTTTGCTGTGTGAAGTTCAGTATATTTAGAATGAGTATTGCAGAAGAGGAGAAGAATCTAAACTAGAAAAGTGTTCCAACATTTTGACACATCTGTATTTATCCTTAACTACTAAAATATTAGTGGTAAAATCCAGTCAGTACAGCCATTGTGCTTGACTTCTGATAAGTGCAGTGATTTTTGTCTTACATGCACAGAATGCGTACTGTTTCTTAATAAATAATTGTACATTACATGATTAATATAAAGATATATTTGCCTTTTATTATTTTTTCCTAAGCTCTGCTTGACACTTGAAATTCCTTAAGAAAAACGGCTTCTTATTTTACATTTCTTTGAGGTGTTTGTCTGCAGCTATTTTAAGTCTTACTGTTGCAGCAGGTACATGTATTTGCCTACAGAAATTTCTGCCTTTAAAGAGCAGGCTAGATGATTCCTTTGAAACTTCCCAAAAGTCAGTAGTGTTAGTGGTGTATTTCTTTAACTACAGAGAGGCAAGCAAAACCCATATGGTAGACTTTGCTCTGTAAGTAGCTAATATTTATTGTAACATTTCTGAAAACCAGTGCAAGGCTACCTGACTACCACAGTTGTGTTGATGTTTTCAGTTCCTCCACATTGCCATGCCTGGAGATCACTGATTTAACTTAGGTTTTGTAGTATAATATTTCAGAATAATTGAATTGTAAACTGTTTATCTTCTGCAGAATAAAAATTTACCGATAGAGAATACTACAGATTGCTTAAGCACCATGGCTAGTGTGTGCAGGGTGATGCTGGAAACCCCGTGAGTATAAACAGCACTTGTATTGTGTGTGAATCATCTCTGTATTTAAGACATGGCTTGTGATGCGTAAGGTGAAAGAAATACAATTGGGGTAATTAGGAGCTATGGTGTTATCTTTTTATTGTCTTAGTTGTTTACCTTAAGGTGAAACTTAACTTGTCTCATTTGCTAGCCATGCAAAATCATGAAGTCTGCTTTTCTGAACATATTAATATTTAAAAATAGAATGGCTATGGAAGCTAGACAACCTCTTGGCACTCTTTATAAATGGTTTTCTCATGTATAATTCAGGAAAATACACTATTTGAGCGTGATTGCCCAGGGCTTCCTGTGGAAGAGGGGTTCTGGGCAATGCGTTGGATGGTGCTTCCTTGCCTTGCCCTGACTGAGGCCTGTAACAAAGTCACAGCGCCACTGCCTGGGGAATTGTGAGGACTTTGAGACCTAAAGGCAGGCTATTATAGTCTGCTGTAAATTTAGAGGCACTGGGAGTATGAACAAAAAGTCAAGCTAAACTTTGAGGCTTTATCTGTTTCTTCTGGGATCTCAATAGTTTCACATTGGTAAAATTACTCAGGCATGAGGTGTGTCCTATTTAAATAAGTTTCTGTCTAAGTACTGCAGTACATTTGTTTTGGAGTACATTAAGAGCTTCAAACATTTATATTCTTAGGAGTAGTCTGTTCCATTCAAGAAAGTAGTTCAGTGTTTTTCATTGTTTGTTTTCTTTATTTTTTTTTTCCCTTTTTTTTTCCTGGTTTAGAAGCTTGGATTGGGTGTACATTAGAGGGTGGAGGGGAAAAGCGTGGGAAATATTGAAAGCACAGTTAGTATGAATTGTTTTTCTGTTGTTTTGGTGGTGGTGTTTTTCCTGGAAAAAAAAGATACCTGAAATGTTGTAGCAGCAGGGTGCTATTTTAGGTTTGAGAATCTTGTTTAATCTGCAGATGAGCAGTGGTCTGACTGACCTGTAGGCAGGTTATTGAAAGGAAAAAGGAAAACTCTTAAAAGTTTGTGGGATTGGTAGGGTTTGGCGTTTTGGTTTGTTTTGGGTTTTTTTCCCTCTGAGGATTTATAGTAGGATTTCTCTTTAATCTTATTTCAGACATTACTGGTATGTACTTTTATCTTCTGTTTCATAGATAATATTCTGTGCTTTTAAATTACAGTGAATATAGAAGCAGGTTTACAAATGAGGAAACAGTATCGTTCTGTCTGAGGGTAATGGTGGGTGTCATCATACTCTATGACCACGTGCATCCGGTGGGCGCTTTTGCCAAAACTTCAAAAATTGATGTAAGTTTATTGTTACTAAATGATCTTTTGAGTATTTAAATTGTGTCTGGGCTGCTTTTGTGTTCTCCAGGTTCTGGTAGCAGATGTACACTTCAGATTGATGCTAAATGGCTAGTGGTGGCTGTTAGCAAACCATATACAGAAGTGGTGAGAAATACAAACTGGGCCTTCAGAATGGTCATTCCTAGGTTGTGAAAAATCTGTTTTGATGGCATTGAGGTAGTGTCTTGAAATACTTGCGAAGAATGGTTGTGTTGAAAGATCTGAAAGTGCCTGGAAATACTGGCATTTAGCTTGTTCCTCCCTATCTGGTAAAAAGCTGGGTTTGTCATCCACCAGTCTTCAAGTCTTTAACTTTCTGCTGTTGTTTGGTAGTAAGGCTATGGAATATGTGCTGTTACTGTGCTGCTTCAAAATGGACTATTATCCCATTGTATTAGCTACAGCTTGTCCTTATTTCACTGCCTGAATGTAATAATTCTTTGTTTATCGTAAGTCCATTAAGATTTTTGTTTACAGTTCCTTTTTTTTTTTAAGGTCAATAAAGCAGAGCTTGGCATCAGAGTTGCATTTTCTAAAGATATGTGGATTTTTAAGTAGCTAAGCCATTTTGTCATAGGAAAATGTAATAATGAAAGCTGAATTCCATTCTAATGTCAGGGAAATGTCTTTACACTGCTGCAATTTTGAAATATTTTTTTTCTCTGACAAACTGAATATAAAACACTTCAGTAAACTTAGAAGGTGTTAGCATGAAAAAAATCTGTATTTTTTTCAACTTCTAGATGAAAGGATGCATCAAAGTTCTTAAAGACCAGCCTCCTAACAGTGTAGAAGGCCTTCTAAATGCTCTCAGGTACTCTTATTCTTTTATTGGAAATATTTTCATGTGAATTTTCATAAACTGTCCAGGGCATTTCCTTCAGCAGCAAAGCATTCAGCCAGTGTTACAGGTAAAAGGTGACTGTGGCTATTGCAGCCTCCTTTTCCAATGTACCTTGAGGCAGGGATGCATGAAGAAGCTCCTGTGTTTTAAAATCCAGGTGACCTGTGCCAGCTTACCAAAGAAATGGCAGGGTTACTTTGCATTTGCCATATCCTCAGCTGTGTCACTTGACCATGGCTTAATGCTTTTTTTTGTTAATACAAGAGTATACGAGTAGTTTAATGTGATTTTTACATTTCTCAGATAGCTTCAGACATGTAAGGCAGATAGTTCTGGGGTGTTATTTTGTATGTAGCTAGAAATTTTTCTTCTTTCATGGGGTATTTATAGGAAGGTACTTAGGCAAGAGTCTGACTGGTTTTGCTATAGAATAGTCAAGATTAGAAGTTGCTATATTAGTTGGAGAGGTAAAGAAAAAATAGCAATGATGTATAGAAACCTTTGTAGTTTGTCTTGCCTGAAAGTATGCAGTTATGCTTTGTTTTTCTTAACTGCTTTAGTTTCATTTGCCCTCTCTTTTGTGTTAAGATGTGGTAAGAAGTGAAATAATGTGGTATTCATAAGTGGTTTCACTTGCTAAGATTTTTCAGATTATCAGCTAAAGAAAAAAGTCTGCACTTAATTTGAGACTTCATGTGAGGATTTCCATGCCTAAATAATTCTGTAACTCATCTCTGAACCTCCTTTACGTGGTCAGTCTTTGAGATGGCGATCAGTAAAAATGCAAGCTTCCAGAGGGAAAATGCTACATTAGCATTTATTTTCTGATTAATTTATTGTGTTTGCAGCTGCAAATGAACACTGGTCTTCACCAGTGACCCGTTTTTCTCCATCGTGGCTGATACTATTAAAGTAGATGGAAAGTGTCGTTCATGTTCACTCCGTTGTGCATTATTTTGTGGTTAGCAGTGTAAATTCAGTCTGTGCTGTCACACTGACCTTTCACCACACCAACCCATTGCATATGTACTGTAACAGTCCTGGTTTCATACAGTGGACTACTTGCTTGGGTAGGATATTTAAATTTTTTAAAACCACATTTGGAATTGTTAGGAAGAGATGGCAGAGGTGGGCTGCTCTGTGCGTGTGTGGTGAAAGCAGGTTCAAGATGATGTCGTGAGAAATTAAGTCCAAATTTAAGTCTTTGATTCTGGAGGAGTGTTAGAAGTTCTCATGTTTTCTCAAGAGATAGACAGTATTTCTTAAAAGCAAATGGAAGGTGGTATGGATTTTGGAGGCTGTTTATCATTTGAAATTCATGTAAGTATTGTAAACAAGTTCAACTTTTTGAATACCAAGCGCAATAAGTTTTCAGGATTTTAGGAAGCCTTGTTTGTGGAAAGAAGAAATTACCAAAAAGTGCTGATATTAATTTCCAAAACACATTGTATGTTCTTCATGTGAACAACTGAAATATCACTGAGATTGTGCGTAACGGTAAAAGTGCTAATTTAACATCTTAAATTTGAATTACAGAGTAAGTTTTTACTTACTTTTAGATTACAGTTAGGGAGGGAAGGTCAGGGAAATTAATCATACATTGAGAAACTAGCATTGGAGATATACACTACTTTCTACTAAAATAAGAGATAACTTTAGTACATTTTTAAATCACTACAAAAGCCTTATGTCCTGGACAATTTTGAAGGAGGAAGGGGCCGGAGTAAACACGTGTGTGCTCTTTTGTTTTAGCACCACAGTTACTTAACAGGAAATTAGGCTGAAAAGCAATGAAATCCATTCTCACCGAGGGATCTTAGAAAGGTTTGGCCACTGGAATAAGAGTTTTTGAAGCTGTATTTTATTTGAAGATGTGACCTATGGACAGAGATCTCAGAGTTCATAATAATTACATACCACAGCTGGTAATGTGAGTTCACTATGGGATGGCCTATGAGCATGACAGCCGACATCCAGCTGAGGCTTATTTTTCCCTCCCCTGGGTATGAGGCCGTTGGGTTGTAGTTCTGATCCATAACAGCATTTTCTGATCAGAATGTCTGACTTCGGTAGCAGTGGAGCAGGTGATGATTGGTGGTTTTTTTGGGTTTTACTCTGGTACAGTCAGCTGGAGCCATAAACAAAAAAATCCTGTATTTATTAAGTAAAGTAACATCTGTGTTCTTCTCAACTTGCTTTTTATTTCTGTGTTTAGGTACACAACAAAGCATTTGAATGATGAGACTACCTCCAAGCAAATTAAGTCCATGTTGCAATAACAGTTACCTGGAATTCGCCCCTGCTGTAGACAGACAGTATTCTGCAATGACTGAGATGCACAGATTTATTTTTTTTTTAGTGATTGCAACTACTATCTTGTTCATTCTTGCTTTTTATTTTCTCTCTTCCTGTTTACCCTTTTTTAAATCACTTTCTTGTTCTTAAGTAAGCTCAGACTTCTTTTCTGTGCCAAATCAATGAAAATTATCCGTTCTGGAAAGTATTTCTGCTTTTCAGAATAGCCATCCTAAGTGGCAGCTAATTATGCGTTGCATTTGGATTTCTCTGTACTGGGGAAAGATTTGTGACTTGAACTAAATATTTTTAAACTTGTGGTTTTTTTCTTTTTTTGAAAAACTAATATTTAATATTGCTTCTTCTGCATGGCGAGACTGCCTACTTCTGCTATTTAAAAATCCCTCGATGACTTCATTTTCTATTGCAGCTTATTTTCATGTGCAACCATGAGGAAACTAAAAGCAGATTTGTTTAAATTAACTGTGTTTGTACAAAATGGTACCCAACACAAAGGTTTTTTTAAATGAGTAAAAACTGTTTTGGTTAAAAGTTACGTTTGCATTTTGACTCATTTTTGTAAGGATGTATGTTGTATGTTTAACCTTTAATAACTAACGTTAAACTGTGGTGTGTGCGTAGCAAAATTACGTATGCATGTTCATGTCAAATGATTGGCTGTGGATAAGATAATAAAATCAGCTTTCATTTTTCTAAGTGTGGTTTGATTTACCAGTATTTTGAGTGAGATGTCTTCGTGCTCTTTGGATTTTTACAAAAAATAAATTTATAAATTTTATATAGTGAAAACTCTGCTGTTTCATTACCAGTAACTCCTAGAGTCTAATCCACTGATTTAAACCTGACCTGTTTCAGGGCTCTTGATCTCCACTCTGTGCTGCTTCCCTGTCCCTACAAGTGTTACTCCTGTAGGGTTTGGGGTAAGAAATTTGTGTAACCCGTGTAGATCTTGGTGGACACTGCTGAAGATCCTGCGTCTTGGCTGCCCATGGTGAAATCTCGGCAGTCGTGAGGAATGATGTCCAGATTAGGCTACCGGAGTGTGCTCTTATGGATCTAGATGTTGTGAACTGTGTAAAATTGGAATGATTTTAGCATACTAAATAATGTTTGGCTAGCATTTTACTGGAACAGCTATTAAGCTTTGATAGGTTGGTAAGGAAAATCTTTTTGGGAAGGGAAGAATTGAAGGGGAGAACAAGAATTAAGACTTAGTAGGGAGAACATCTCTGGTAAATAGCGTGTTTTGCATCGATGGGCAAACATTAGAGCACCTCAGGTGTATGGTGCTGTTGCAGCTATGCCTGAAATGAGTTGCCAGCATCCTGAGGAGGATGTTTGAAGCCTGCAGGGAAGCGTGAACATCCTCAGCTTTATTTGCTGGATGAATAATGACACTTGAGGAAGAGTTGGAAGGAGGCAGAAATGTGTATTGCTGATACCTTGAACATCCTTCTCTGCTAAGCAGAATAATGCTTTTTTTTTTTTTTCTTCTTTACTGTTAATGCTTAGCAGAGTTTCTTGCTACAGAGAAAGCAAAGCATGTGCTATGCTGTCTGCAGGAATAAAATACTCTTTCTTTGACATGATACTGCTCTGTAGATCTTTTGGCAGCATCACAGTTGAATCCAGCTGAGAAAGGACAAAACTTGATTTGTTTTTAAAGGAAAAAAAATAATCCCAGAATTGTATGAATGTTACAAACTACAACCAACCATTCTGCATGTGTCTGAAAGGGTAACTGTCCTCAGGAGTTCATTATGCCTAGGAAAAAATTAATTTAATCTCAGCCTTGTTACTGTGAATACGGTTATCGAATAATAATCACAGGAGGGGCAAATCATACTCCAGTCCAGTGTTACTTTTTGGAAGCAGAGCTTTCTAAAGGAAATGTAATTTACAGAGAATAGGTTTTAAGCACAACTTGTGTATTTGACAGTTTTTATTGTTAGAAAACATTTGAAGCAGTACATGCAGTGTGGATGCTGTTATGGAAGGACTCACGTATAGCAGATTTCTTCTTTGCCTGAACGGTTACTGACTAAAACAACACAGAATTGCTTCAGTCAACTGTTTTGGACAGCTCTTCCTTTCTGCTGCCTTGCCAATATCTTTGCTTTGAAACATCTTTGTTCTTGTGGTCTGAGAATAATTGGACCTTTCCTTTTTTTCCTCCAGCGTTTGTGTTCTGCAGTGTCTCTGTGTACACAGCTGGGAAAGGCGATTGGAGCTGGCGTGCCTTTGCCTTTGCCTGGCCCACAGCTCCACAAGCTTCCCTGCTCCTGAGCTTTCCAAGAGGAGAAAACAGGCCCTACAGTGCGTTGGGCATCTGCTCTTCCCATTTTTGACCTTTGGTGCATGTTCCTTGCCAAACCACTCTTTAATCTCCTCCTCCTCCTCTCTGTTTTAATTCTTCTCTTACCTCTGGTAGTGGATGGAAGAGTAGCTGGTGGGCTCAGTGCTAAGTATTGGCCACTAAACAGCTTTTGTGTAGGTTTGAGGGGGGAAATTGCTCACTTTGGATGGCACCACCCTGGTGTATGTGATAGCCTTGAGTCTTGGGGTGATGGGCTGAGTGGTGCTTGATGGTTTAAATAAAAGCTCTGCTCAAATCGGCCATCCTCCCTCTGCTGTGAGGTGCTGTAACCACTCTGGAGCTGTTGTGGGTGCAAAGCCTTCTTGTGATGCTGTGTCTGTAAGTGTAAACACTATTGCTGCTTTCTCATGGGCACGTGGTGGGTCTGTGGGGTAATGGGTCTGCAGTGGCTTGTGAGATGGTGTCACCATCCATGGACAGTAATGTGGTAGTGTAGCTTCGCTCCTGATCACAAGGCTGATAGTCTGTGCCACCCCACAAGGCCTGGGTTTTCTTCTGCGGTTCTTTAGTACCAGCCTGCTTATATTATATTGATTTGTTTCCTAATATTTCAATTTAAAAGTACATAAATTATGGAAATATTTCTCCTAAAAAGAGTATCCTTTCCAGTCCCTATCTTCTGCTTCTAAACCACATGAGGATTTTACTTTGCCGGGTACACTACCTATTTCCTAGTGTTTTTATTATGGCTGGAGCAGATCTGGAGAGTGGAGATCCTGAAATGGCCTCTTGCAGGTGATCTTGAAGGCGAACATCTCATTCAGGATGCACCATCCTCTGACTGCTCTCTCCTGGCTCGCAAAGCCACTGCCAACATGTCTTCTGCAGCAGGGATGAGGTGACACCAAGCTGTTGCTTCACTAGAAGGATGCTCATTCTCCTTTGTCTTCAGGTTTTCTAAACCTTAGTGTTGTCTTTCTGTCCCTGAAAATACTTTTACCTGTGAAATAAATGTAAAGAATTAGCAAGGAGTAGTTTTCTGCAGTTGCTGTGAGTTTTTAGTTAGTTGTGTTTCAAAAGTGCATCTGTGTGTAAAGTTGCTGCCGTGGTTACTGGGTGCTGCAGACAACGAGTACTCGCAAGTCCATCCTCCATCCTTGAGGATGCCCTCCCTGGCTGTGTTGATGGGGGAGGTTACTTGTTTCTCAAAATGCTGAGAAATGCCTCTTTGTGAAGCAGCTCTTTTTATCAAAATAGAGATCTAGCTCTGAATTACCAGGCTGTTTGCTTGTGCTCGCTCTTTTGGTCTTTTTCCTGGCCTAAGCAAAGCTTTTTCACTCCTTTTCCCCAGTTCGGTGTGATGTCTGCTGGCTGATCTGTACCAGCAGCTCGCTCTCTGGGGCCAGTGGAGCAAGGGCTAAAGCAGTCCCAGTATGAAGTTCATACTATCAGTTTGCATATGGATTTTGTAAGGATTTGCTATCACATAAGATACTTAAAAATGGGTTGGTTGCATCCAACTGGATCTGGGGCAGTGCTTTGCTTCCCCACATTTCAGTGCTGATGATCCTTTTGGGTTGGTCTCATCCTTCTGTTTTATTGCCATGATGACACAAGGGTGCCTGGATGGGTTTACAGCTTCTGTCAAAGTTAGGACATAGGAAGAGCTGTACCTGCTGAGCAAATCCAATCGGGTGTGATCTGACCCTGTCTCTTGAATCTGAGTGATGTTCTGGTCCCTTTTTATTGCAGGGGAAGCAGGTATTTGAGGGGTTGTATGGGACAGAGATGAAGTAATCTAGTTCCTGTGGGGATATTACAAGATTTGGGCAAATGATAGGATAAAGCTTTTTGAGTCCTGTATTTATTTCACCAGCAGATGCTTGAGTGCATGGTAGGCTGTAACAAGGTAAATGGACTTGGTGTGTTATGAACATGCTTGCTGAGTGTGGCAGATGCACCCACCCTACTAAAGACCTGAGAAAGACCCAACAAAGACAGTGTTAAAGTTTCTGGCTCTGGTGGCGCCAGGACTGCCTCCCCCCTCACAGCTCATGTCTGGTCCACACAGTGGGGGTCAAAGGCGGGAAAGTTGGGGTCCTCAGCCAATAGGGGCTGACACGACCATGTATTGACCACAGATCAGATTCAAGCAGGGTATAAATGGGGCCCTGTCGGAGGACTCATTTGAGTCGGTTCTCCTCGGAGCAGCGGGTCTGCAGTTGGGGACTCTCCCCCTTGAGTTGGGACGCCACTTAAGGAAACTTCTCGAGATTGAGAGCCCTCCCTTTTTGGTGAGTGAGTGAGTGCACATTTTGGATCGTTTGGCCAAATCTTAAGAATTCTTAATTTAGCCGTGTCTGGTAATATTCCCAACCAGCAAATCAAACCTGTATTTGTTGAATGTCAGTGGGATGTTGTTTTGGTGAATGAAGTTTTGTCTGCTTCATTTCAATTGCAGATTAAAGCTTGTTTGAGTTATCTGTGTGCGTGTAGCCATTTTGGTGCAATTCCGTGACACTGAGTTTGCCCTTGTGTGCAAATGGTCTTGGAGCTCCCAGGGCCACACTTTGCAGCCTTTCCTTGGCTGCCCTGCACGGTCTCTGTGTTTCACAGTTGCAGATTCCCACAGGACCCTTCATTTTCCTTTTGAAAAGCTTTTAATATTTATATGGAAATGTGTTGGTGCTGTCTTATGTTCTATATGCTGCTATGATTAGAATTGATTGAGGGCAGGTCCTAAGATGGCTCCTGGGAACTCAAGTTGTGCAACTGGATTTGGAGAAATTCAGGTGGTGTATTTGTCCTCTCCCCCATCGCTGCTACCCTCTATGTTCCCTGCTCATGCTTGAACCTTACACAGAAGCCAGTACGTTGCTGTGGGGCTCAGAGGTGCCTGATGAATGAGATGAGGAGATATAGGCACCTGGATGACCACGATGGGACATTGGAGAGCTGTGCCCTCTCCTGGCTCCTGCCATGGGGTTCCTTGTTACTTGCAAATCCCTTTTGATCCCAAGGTCTCCAGAATTATCTCCCTACGCTTCCTCCCCTTTCTCGCCTTTCAGGGCGTATCACTGTTGTCTCCATCTGCAGAAGCATGGAGACCTCCTACTGCAAGTGGTATCTTTGTCCTTTATGACTTTGTTTCTTGCTGGTAACAATGTACACCATGAACCGACTGAGGCAGAGAAGAGGTGGCCTCTATAGTCATGGGCGTCTAAGATGACCCCAAGTCAGAGCAGGCCTGGCAAGAGCATGTGTCTGGCCTGACCTGTGGCCTGTCTTCTCCTTGGATGCAGGCAAAGACAAAATTGAGCTGCTTATTTTATCCTGGCTCCTTCTCTTCCTGCATTGCATAATTTCACATGTGCCCAGCA